TAGCCGCGGGGTGGAGGGCGGATGCGCTGGGTCGCGTCGAGCGACCTAGACTCTGTCCCTCGGTGATTCAGCAGCGGCTTGGAGTTTGGGGAGTCCAGGGAGACATACGCCTCTGTACCCCGACCCTCCAGGCCCAGGCCGGCCAGGGTGGCGCCGGGAACTTAAGGTGGACTAGGGCGTGTGTCGTGTGCCCGGCCCTCGGCAGCCCTGTGAGGAGTGGGACCCGTCGTCCCTTATACAGATGAGAAAGCCGAGGCTAGGAGAGACCGGTCAGGCTCAAACCCAAGTTGCTCTCAGCCGTGAATTTGTGTAGCTTTAGCTGTTCGGTTCATAGAATTCTGTGGTGTTTCTTCATTTGGTTTGGGCACAGATCACCCTCATTTTGCAGAATAAGAATTGAGACTGTGGAAGATGGAGAAAGAAGGTAAAGGAAAGATGAGGGGTGTAGAGCTTTCTGGATTTTCTCCCTTTTGTGGAGTCCACTCCCGTGTGCCTGCCTCTCTAAGCCGAGACTTCAGAGGTCTCCCGCTCCTTCTGGCCCAGAGGCCAGGTGGGGCCTTTTCCACCTGGAGCCAGGCTCCTGCAGGGCTCAGCCTCTAGAACCTGGACAGGCTAAGTGGTGCAGGTGACCCGGGCCAGGAACTAGGAGTCCCATGAGCGTGACTGCTGAACAGACCTTGCCCTCTCTCAGCAGTTTTTGTCCCTGAGTATTCGTTCCTCCGAAAACTTATGGGTGAGCTGCCCTTTGAATTTTGAATTTGCCCATTTCCTGAGGTAGATATGCAACAGAATCCTCTAAAATACTGGGCAGTGCCAGCAGGCCCCAGCTCCATAGCAGCCCAAAGATCACAAAGGGAAAGGGCAGCAGCTTAGGGCATTGCTGTGACGCTCGGTGGGTTGGGGGTGTTGGATGCGTCTTCAGCCTTTGATGTTTTCACCTCAGTGCGGGTTTCAGCCGTAGCCCCATCATAAGTCGAGCATCTGTGCTTGGTGGCAGTGGCACTCCTCTCAGTGCATGTGCTCTGGAACAGGATTCCCTTCCCCCATCACCCTGGCCCTTAATTCTGCCACTGTTTTCTGAGGACTTCCCAGACCTGTGATGGGGATTGAGGCAGGGAGGACCCCAATTTTTAAGGTCCTGTTGTGTTGGATGAAAGGAGGACAATGTGGCAATGCCCTGGCCCCTGCCCAGCCTGCCTCAGGAGTGGTAGACCCTCACTGGGGCAGGTCCCTCACCATGGGAACTCTAGCCTCTTGTGGAAAGCAGGAGTAATGGGAAAGGTGCACCTGGCTGACTGGGGACCTGGTGGGGGAGGGGAGGCGAGAGCTGAGGACTAAGCCACCAGTGTCCAGTACATAGAAGATGGTCACCAGTGTCATGTCGTTTCTTCCCTGGCCACCCGGTTGCTGTGCCCTACCCTGGGGCAGCCAGTGTTTTTCCATTGACCTCCCAAGCTGTTACCAGTAGAGCTGAGTCACCAAGATGCCAGACACAAACCTGCAGCCATTGTCACAGAGTAAGACCAGGTCTGGGGTGGGAGGGAGCATGCCACCAAGACCAGTAGCTGCTGCACACAAGGGCCTCATCCTGTGACCCTAGTGCAACTGCCGACTCCTGCTTGAGCTTTCCACTGGTGACCACTCCCTTTGCTGTCTCCCTAGGGGCCCCTCAAGACCTGTCAAGTGCAGGCTGTGGTCACCTCTTTCCACAGCAAGGGAGAAGCCAAGCCAGAATGGGGGTGGGCCCGCTGACCCCCAGAAGGCTGGCGATGGAAGGCTGAGGATTTGGGAGTACTTAGGCGAGAGAAGCCAGGCTCCAGCCCCTGCCTTCTTAGCAGAGAGCGAGATAGTGGCCTTTCCAGGGCTGCGGCCAGCGTTACAGCAGGACTCAAACCTCTGCCCAGCTCTCTGGGAGCCTCTTCCAGGTGATCTGTCTGCTGCACCCTGCTAGGCCCTTCCTTGCCCTTCTCCTGCCGGGAGTTCTTTCCCCCACCTCCCCAGAGCCAGGTCCTTTGGAGTCCACCCCTGTATCTTCACCCAGAAACTTCCTCAGGCTCTGCCGCTGCCCACCTGGTACTTGGATGGCCTAGCCCTTCCTCAGCTCTCAGCACCAGGCTCATCCTCCGTGACCGTGGAATGCCAGTCCCCACCAGCATCCCAATGCCGCCTGTGCCTGAGAGGCTAGAGGTTTCAGGGAGGACTGGCGTCAAGTCCCCCTGGGTGTCGGAACTTAATGTGTGCTGTTAGATCGGATTCCCAAAGCGGTCCTGGAAGATAGGTGGTACCCCTTCACACAAGAGGAGACTGGGTCACAGGGCATGCTGAGACCAAGTGCTCGCAAAACTGTCCTGTGGTCCAGGTTCTAGGCCTGTTGGTGTGTGGGTCACCTAACCCTCCCGACACCCCCTTGAGGTGGTCCAGTTGTGTCTGTTGGACAGATGTGTAGGAAGTGGAAGAGCCGCCTGTGCCAGGCTGCAGAGTCTAAAGATACCACCCCCACCCCCATCACTGACTGGTGGCAGGAGCTAGGACCAGCCTGGCTCCAGGCACAGGAGAAGAGGCCCACTCTACCCTGAGGATGGCGCATACCCCTCTGTTTCCTGCCAACCCTGGGCTATTGGCTGGTCTGGCCGGGTGACACGGGGTCTCAGCTACTGTGGTGTGCGATGACTTCTGGTGAGAGGAAGTACTCCCCAGCTACCAGGACCCTGACCCCCATTCACCTCCAGTGTGACCAGAGCCACCTTCTGCCCTTAGGACCTTATTTGTCCTGGAAAGCAAGAGGCCTAAACTAAAGAGCATTCCCCTGTGTACATAGTCCGTTTCCAAGAGTGGTGTCCCATGGGGCCAGCGCCTTGGATGATCTCAGCATAGATGATGCCCCTGTGAAGTTCTAGGAGGCCTAGTTTCCCCACCTGCCAGGTTTTTGTGGGTAGGTCAGGTAGTATATAGGTCCTACTCCTCGGGGGAGTCAGGTTCATCCTTAAGGCCTTGATGTGGCCCTCAGCCACCCTGTGGCAGCAGTCATGACTGTGGTGAGGGTCAGGGTAGGGTCTTCTGCCCCACACTTGCTGACCATGCTCTGGCCCCAGGTCTTCGACGCCGGGGAGATGTTCGGGATAATGCAGGTGGAGGAGGTGGAAGAGGAGGAGGATCCAGCTGCCGGGGAAGCGCGAAGGAAGCAGCCCAACCCCGGGAGTGAGCTGTGCTACAAGGTCATCGTGACCAGTGAGAGCGGGCTTCGGGCCGCAGACCCCAACAGGTAGGATCCCAGGCCCATTGGCACCTCCACCTCCAGGGCCCAGCCCACTCTTACAAAGCTTGCACCAAAAGTTGGCTGTTAGGGCAAAACAAAGTACAGGCACTCTGCTTCCTGTGTGCCAAGCAGCATCTTGGTCCCAGGACAAGCCAGTGCTATGCATGCATGGCCAGTGCTGTTCCCACAGGGCTTCACAGTAGTGTCTGTTCCAACATGGTGAAGTCCCCTGAGTGCCTGCCTATGATCTCATCATTGTCACAGTGTCCCCCTTGCAGGGTGTAAGACTTTGGTTTTGCTGAAGCATTTGGGCATGGTCGCCCAATTGGCTGAGGCTGGGTGCTGCAGGTGCCTGTCTGTTCCTAAGCATGGCTTCTCCTTGGACCCTCTCTTGGAAACAGGAACCTCTGAGACCCAGAGCAGGGCTGGTCCTGCCCACAGCTTCCTGTCTCCCAGGGACCACACAGAGCTATCTCCTGCCAAAGTCCTTGTTGGAATCTTAAACTTGTGCTGGCCCCTAAGGCTTACAGGGTCTGTCTCCTGGGGAGCTTTTCCCACCTCTTCCATCAGCCCAGCACCCCCACCTATCATGCAGTTGGGCCCAGGCTTGCCTCCTCCCCCAGGGCAGTGCGGTGAGTCAAGCAGCCGCCTCAGCTTGGGGCACACTCAGCCCTCGTCACACACCCCACCTGAGCAGGCCTGGGAGGGGCTGGGGATCTGGCCTGGGTTTGGAGCCTCAGGTGTAAATTTCAGCTTCAGCTTTCCCCAGTTGCCCAGCCCCAATAAGCTCCTAGGCCCTTTCTTCCTCAGCACCCATTGGGTACAACATCTTGTCACGTTGCCCAGGGTCACTCCTGCATCCATCTTCAAGGGCCTAGCTCCTCCCTGTGTTCTGGAGTCTTCAAATCTCTATCTCTGGATATGTAGCAAACCAAAAATCTAATATAAGCACAGCAAAATAAACTTTCCTGAACTTAAGGACCAGTGCATTAGCTGACCCTTTCATTTTAAAGTGGGATGGATTCAGCCAGGAACAACCATGCCCATGAGCCACTTGAGTGCTTGGCCCCTCCTAAACTAGTAGGGCCTCAAACCCGGGCAGCCCCGTTCTGTGGGTGGCAAGCAGGCCTGGCCTCAGACCTGCGGGGGAGCACATGCTTGCCATCTCTTGCAGGAGCTGGGAACTGTGTGCAGGGCTCAGCTCTCCCTCCAGAGGCCTGGTGTGCATGGGCACTTTCTGTGGGGCAGCTCCTTTGCACTCCCACTTGGCCTCCTGGTGTGGGGACCTTTGTTTTAGGTGACCGCCTGCCCCTGTAGGGAGCAAGGGGGGAGCCCAGGCCTGTCCTCCACCACTTAGTCCAGCCATGGACTCTTACATGAGTGACCTCTATTGCTTTTCACCAGTACTCAGCCAAGTCAAGAGTGCTGGCTATTTGGAACTTTTTTTTTTTTTTTTTTTTTTTTTTTGCACTGAGGATTGAACCAAGGGGCACTTAACCACTGAGCCACATCCCCTTCCCTTTGTAATATATTTTATTTAGACAGGATCTTGCTAAGTTGCTTAGGGCCTTAGAGATGGCTTTGAACTTGGGATCCTCCTGCCTCAGCCTCCCAAGCTGCTGGGATTACAGGCATGTGCCACCCCACTGGTTCCAGTTAGCACATTTAATTAACAGAACGATGGGTTTCATTGTGGCATGGTGATGTACACAAATAACACTCTAGTCATCCCTTTCTCTTCCCCATCCCTGCCCTCCTATCCCCTTCCTCTCCAGTAGCCTCCCTCATGCTGGATCTCCAGACCCGTGTGGTGCTCACATCTACCTGGTCATGGGAAATGGGGAACCCCAGTGACCTGCATTAGAGCTCAGAGGAGGTGGCTAGCTGGAAGGCGTATACTGGGTGACAGAGCTGGGGTCTTGGCCAAAATCATCCATAACCATGGTGGTGGGTTAACTGGGTCTCAGAAGAATGGGTACAGGACCTAGCCCTGGGTGTCTTCTCCCTTCTGGTCCTCCTCTTTCCCCTTTCCCTTTTGCCGTGGCTGCTTGGCAACTCACATGTGTCCACAGCATCTTCCTCATCGACCACGCCTGGACGTGTCGCGTGGAGCATGCCCGCCAGCAGCTACAGCAGGTGCCAGGGCTGCTGCACCGCATGGCCTCCTTGATGGGCATCGAGTTTCATGGTGAGCTGCCCAGCCCGGAGGCTGTGGCCCTGGTGCTAGAAGATATGTGGAAGTTCAACCAGACCTACCAGGTGGCCCATGGGGTAAGCCAGCCACTGGGTCCCAGGGGAAGGGAGCACAGGCAGGGCCTTTGTGGCCTTGGGCCGTCAGGGCTGGTGGGAGCCCCCACAGTGAACAGGGGTCGGAGGTGGAGGCAGAGGGCCGCACCTGGCAGGGCTGGGTGGGCGGCCCAGGTGTGGAGGAGCTGGGCCTGCCCTGCCAGCAGGCCCAGGGCAGCGGCTTGCACCTCTGATCCAGGGTCTGCCTCTCTGTGGGCTCAGTCCTGGGCCACCTCCTTTGGAGGGGGCATTTTTTCCTGTGGCCTCATCAGGAGAGGCTGACCCCCTTGCTCAGGACCATCTAAGGCTGGGCCCCAGGTGCTCACCCAGGCTTGGAGCTCACAGGACCCGACTCTCGGACCCCTGAACCTAAGCCCAGACAACTGAGCTGCCTCTGGCCTGACCTGGGCCTTCACTACCACCTGTGGCCTCTCCAGGCCCCAGCCCCTCGCCACTCTTAGTTCAGGAAGTCATGCTTGCTCCTCCTCCATGCCGCTGCCTCCAGGAAGCCTTCCCTGAACTCAGACTCCCTTCCCCACCACATGGAAAGTCCAGACTGTCCGCATGGGGATGAGCCAAGTGCCTTTTTACCACACAGGTTGTCATGCTGTGTTACATGGGCTGTGTCCTGGTCTACAAGGGCTGGGCCCCTGTCCAGGAGGGACTGAACTGTCCCTCCAGACTCAGGAGAGCTGGGCATAGGAGAAAAGTGACAACTGCAATCACTCCATGCTTCTGTGGGCCGTGGTGGGTGGGCCGGTGGAGGGCACAGGGCAGAAGGAGCAGGCGGTAGACATGTGGGTGAGGGCTGCCCTGTGCCCTGCCCACAGACAGCCGAGGAGAAGGTGCCGGTGTGGTACATCATGGACGAGTTTGGCTCGAGGATCCAGCACGCAGACGTGCCCAGCTTCGCCACGGCACCCTTCTTCTACATGCCCCAGCAAGTGGCCTACACGCTGCTGTGGCCACTGAGGGACTTGGACACAGGCGGTAAGTCAGAGCCTGCCCACCCTGTAGGACGGGCCTCAGCCAGCCCCTTAACGCCCCCACTGATGGGCATGCGTGTCTTGGCGCAGAGGAGGTGACCCGGGACTTTGCCTACGGAGAGGCAGACCCTCTGATCCGGAAATGCATGCTGCTGCCCTGGGCCCCCACCGACATGTCGGACCTCAGCTCCTCCACGCCCGAGCCGCCCGCCGAGTACTACCAGGTGTGGCCCTGCCTCCACCTCCAACCCAGGCCTGTTGGTCTGGTGGCTGCTGGAATGTTCTCCATCCGTCACCACATGTTACTGAACACTGCTAGGTGCCAGGCGCCTAGCTGGTTACTGGGAGCGGGGAGGTGTTTGGGGACTCTGAGACAGGTCTCCCTGGAGCACGAGCAGCCTGCAGCCACATGCTTAAACACTAGGTGATAGGAGCTGGTCCTTGCAGGACATCAACAGATGCTGCTTGTTACCGAGGAGGCGTGGGCCTGCTCTGTCCCATGTCTCATCTGGAGAGGTTTCTCTCCTGGGCAAAAGGACACCGGGCTTCCCTGGCTGTCCTCAGGTGACTGGCTCTGGGACCCTCATGGATTCCAGAATCTCCAGGTGCTCCAGTCCCTGTGTCAGGTGGTGCGGTGTTCCCGTAGAACCTACACTTGTCACCTAAGACCGGAAGTGTTGTGTGAACCCTTGTCATGTTATTAGGGACACGGGAGAGTCCACATATTCAGGACAGATAGAATTTTTGACTGACCACCTTTGGTTGAATGTAAGGAAGTAGACTCAGGGATAGGAAGGGCCGACCCCATTCAACACGATGCAGCCCCTCTCCTGCACACGGCAGACCCTTGTCACTGAAATCAGAGTGATGCTTCGACTGGGCAGCTCCCCGTCAGGCCCCACCAGGATGTCGCTGGCCCACTCGAGCACTGGGCTGGTGGTAGGAGCTCATGCAGTGCCCAATACCAGGGGCTGTGGGTTAAGGACTAAGGGTCAGTGAGGCCCAGGGAGGCGGGTCCTATAAGAACACAGCTTCTGCCAGAGCCTCCCTCTGCCCTGCCATCGTGTCCCGTCAACTGGATCCAGCACTCGTGGGAGCTTGAACCTAGCACCACAGGAGTTCACTCTCCTGTGTTCCTTACAACCTTACAGTCCTGTTACGTCTTCATTTTATTGAGGATGGGGAAATTGAGGCACAGAGAAATTAATTAACTTGCCAGAGGTCACATAGCTAGTGCAGAGTCTAGATCTGAAACCAAGGGCACGCGTTAGCCCACAGGCAGAGGCCACAGACCTTGCCCCACTGTGTTGGAAGCTGCTGAGCCACACAGACTGTGGTGCTTGGTATCTGGAAGGCTGCGGATGGGACTGAACAGGGCAGCTGGTGTTGGAGTGGTCGCTGTTATTGGCAGGATTGGCAGGGGTGGGCCTGGGCCTGAACCTAGCTACACCTCCGTGGACACCAGTGGTGACCAAATGGCCCCTGCCAAAGGACTGCCCTTGTCTGTCCAGAGGCATGTCCATGCCCACGGTGTGCTCATGAGCTCGGGCCTGTGAAGCAGGGGTGCAGGGGACGAGGTGTGAGTCTGCCCTGGGGACAGTTGCGTCCTGGTCTTGGCTGTTAGTGGAAGGCAGATCTTTGCCTGGGGGCTCTGTGCTGACAGGAGCCAGGGCAGCCGCACATCTGAGACACCCGTGCTTTCCTGCTGGACTCCAGGCAAGGTCGGGCCTGCGCCCAGGTTCACTCTGGGTGCTGACTGAGCAGCCCAGACCCTAGCAGCTCACAGCAGCAAACCTGTCACCTCACACAGTTCCCTTGGGCAGGAGTGGCTCAGTGCTGCTTTGCGGCCCAGGCCTCAGGTCCTCGGCATATGGGCCTCTATGGGCTGCTGAAGCCTTGCCCCACACGGAGACTTGGAGCTAGTGGCTGAGAGAAAGTGAGGCGGAGCCATGGGGCCTGTGGCCTGGCCGGAGCAGCACACTGTAGCTGCTGCCTTCCCTTCATTAGCAGTGGCTCCCCTGGTCCAGCCCACTGAGGCGAAGGACCAAGAGCTGCCTTGTAAAGGGAGTGTCAGCCCCGAGCCCTTCACCCCTTTCCTGAGGCCCAGATCTGGCTGTGACCCCCTGCCCCGCCTCCCTCCCTAGTTTGTGAGCAGGCTGTAAACCATTGCAGCATGCTTGGAACAGCCCTGCCCCCTGGAGCTCCCCAGCCCCTCCTAGGACAGGCCTGCCACCCGCTTTCCCCCTGTGATCTGGAGATGATCCTGAGGAAGTTGAAAATGTTTGCCTTGTTCTTTTGACACCAAAGAAGAGCTGCCGGGTACCGAGGGGCCATGAGTTCCAGAATCCCAGGTGGGGATGGCTGGGGCAGCAAGTGCCCAGCTCTGCAGAGCCCCACCTCAGGGCCGGGCTGGGAGGCACCTTCTCCTGCTCCCTTCACTAATGTCTGTATCTGCCTTTGGTGTGTTTCCTTCTAGGCCATTCTGGAGGAGAACAAGGAGAAACTGCCACTTGCCATCAGCCCTGCAGCCCATCCCCATGACCACGTCTTCAAGTAGGTGCCCCTTCTCTACCCTGGGGCTCCTGGGTTGCCAGCTCCATACACCAGGCCCAGGCCCCAGGGCACTGCCAGGCTCATGAACCCCAAGTCCTGGCAGCTTGCTGTCTGCACAGGGATCATAGAGGAGATGCAGCAGAGCAGGGAAGGCCCTAGACTCTCCCTTGGGACTCAGGATGGAAGGAGGTGTGAAAACCCTGGTGGGGTGAGGGCACTCCAGGCTGAAGCTGGGGCCACCACCAGTCCCGGCTCAGCCATGCAGGGGCACCCCCATGTGTCTGCATTTGATCTTAGACCTGAACAAAGGCTGGCCACTCCCCAGAATGGGTGCCTGTGCTGACTGAGTGTGCTGGGTGCTGGAAGAGCCACCTGGGCTGCCAGGAGAGGCCCTTCCCAGGGCCTGCAGGTGTAGACTAGTGGATCATAACAACTAAGCGGGCAAGTCCAGGCTGGACCCTGCAGATAAGTAGCCTTTCCACTTTCTCAGTCTTGGAAGGCTGAGTACGCTTGTCCCTCCAGGAAGGTGGGAACAGTCACTCCGGCTTACGGGTTAGAAGCAGAAGTACAGGTACCGTGCCTACCTGGTGCTGAGCAAAGCCTGGGCAGGTCCACCTCAATCAGGATGGATGGGTCTCTGCCTTCATGCAAACCCTTTCTGGAAACCCCCAGACACCTCCCTGGGCTGCTTAACCTGGTCCAGCCAGAAATGGACAGCACCTGCACTCTGCCCCCACAGGGCCTCCACCCCTTTCCTGAGGACAGAGGCTGTGCTGGCCTTTCCTAAGGCCCCAGTCTGGCTATGACCCCTGCCCCTCCCCTCCTTGGGGCAGAAGCACATGGAGGCCCCACTTGTGGTCCTCCTGCTCGCAGTCACTTCCACCATGTGCCCTGCTTCAGAGCCCTGCCCGCCTGGCTTCCCTGCCCTGTGCCCCTCCCACCTTCACATTCAGCCCCACCCCTTCAATGGGCTGGGTCCACCCCTCCCCCTCAGGGGCTCCAGGACTCTTGTCTTGACCCCACACTGGCCTGCTTGGCCCTCAGCTTCAGAGGAGCGTTCTGGGGATATCAGCCCTTCTCGGCCGGCTCTTAGCACGTCCAGGGGAAATTGGCCCGCTCCATCCTCCTTTTCCACATGGGGGAGGCCCAGCCTTCACTCAGAAGGACTATTTCATTCTAAAGACAAACAGGAGGCAGGCCATGTGCCATCCTGCAGTGGGACGCAAGAGCACCGGCTGTCTCTGTCCTTCAGCAGATAGTAGAGGGAGCAGGTCTAGACTGCCCTGCCCTCCCCTCCCCAGGGTCCACACGGACGTGCAGCAGGTGCTCAGCCATCTCACCCACCCACGCTTCACCTTCACCCCGAGCGAGGCGGATGCCGACATCCTCTACCACTTCTCCCACTTCAAGGACTACAGGTGGGGTGCCCCCGGCCTCAGCGGGCTCCCGCTCCCCTCCCTCACCCACCCAAGCCCTCCTTCGCCCTGAGCCCCCCATTCCTGCTGCCATCTGCAGGAGCCTCAGCCAGGAGCGGCCGCAGGTGCTGCTGAACCAATTCCCCTGCGAGAACCTGCTGACGGTGAAGGACTGCCTGGCTTCCATCGCACGCCGGGCAGGGGGCCCCGAGGGCCCCCCCTGGTTGCCCCGGACCTTCAACCTGCGCACGGAGCTGCCCCAGTTCGTCAGCTACTTCCAGCAGCGGGAGAGGCGGTAAGCCCCCAGATATGGCGCCTGGAAACAGGCCCCTGTGGCGTCCCATCCACACCCGGTGTCGGCGGCTCATTAGCTGAGCACCAGTGAGTGCTGGTGTGTGCTGACCACAAGTACCCTCACCTCTCTAAGGCCTCTGCACCCAACCTCTGAAAGCTCCCTACTCCTGGGCCCGCCTCCAGTGCCACCTCTGTGACATTCCTAGGGCCCCTTGGGAGATGTTGGCCTCCCCCTCAGTGGCCAGGGTCCTGGGGTGCTTGGCTGGGAGGGCAGGCCTCAGGGTGTAGCCTGGCCGTGCCCTCCTTGCAGGGGGGAGGACAACCACTGGATCTGCAAGCCCTGGAACCTGGCCCGCAGCCTGGACACCCACGTCACCAGGAGCCTCCCCAGCATCATCCGGCACCGAGAGAGCACTCCCAAGGTGGGCAGCCTGGCAGAGCTTGAGGGCTGGGACCCCTGCAGCTAGGTCCAGGTGTCGGCAGTGACTGGGGTCGCCGGGCACACGGGGATTGGAGCTGGGGCAGGGCCCTCTCGGAAGCCCCGTCCTTCCTTCCACAGCCACTGCCAGTGCCAGTAGGGGAGGGCCAGTGTGGCACTCCTGGTGGGAGCAGCGGAGATCCTCAGTTAGAACTGTCCAGTGTAGCCAGCCACAGCCAGGCGCTTTGGCACACTGTAATCCCAGCAGCTCAGGAGCCTGAGGCAGGAGGAACGCAAGTTCAGAGAACTTGCTGCGCCATGTAGTATGACAGCCCAGCAGGAGCAGTGGCCAAGCATGGAGCCCCTGGGCCTGTGGTGGCCTCCAGAGGCAGCACAGGGGAGTCACAGGACTGGAGACTCATCCAGGCTGTGGCTGCTGTGGTGGGTCATGCATGTGGCCAGGGCTGGAAGGAGGGGGCTGGAAGGCCCACAGTGGCAGCTTGGGACAGTGGGACAGGATGGTAGAGTCTGGGGGAGGATCTGTATTGTTTCAAACGCTGAAGCAGATTTTTTTTTTCCTTCAACTAAAGTCGAGATGAACATGGAGACACTAGCTGCTGGCTAGAGCAGGGTTTGCAAGGCAGATGTGGGGTAAAGTGTCACTATGACTGGCCTTGGGTGCCAGGTGCAGGGGCCCTCAGTGGGCAGATGGAGGAGCTCGCCCACGGGTGCAGGAGCTCAGCGAGCCGGCATCTGTGTCCTCCAGGTGGTATCCAAGTACATCGAAAGCCCCGTCCTGTTCCTTAGAGAAGACGTGGGCAGCGTCAAGTTCGATGTCCGCTATGTGGTGCTGCTGCGCTCCGTGAAGCCGCTGCAGCTGTTCGCCTATGACGTGTTCTGGCTACGCTTCTCCAACCGGTAATGGGCCCGGGACCTTCCTTTATGGTGGGTCCCAAAGCCTGTGCTGGGACTCCGCACACCCACCCAGCCAGCAGCCCCTGGGTATCGGGTGGTGGTGACGCGCCTTGGTCCTCCCGAGTGACCATGCCTTGGCTGTGACCTGTGACAGGTGACAGCGGGAGAGCCAGGGTGCGTCACAGGGAATCTTCACATCATGCTGCCCACCAGCCCCCACCCGCTGGTGAGACAGGTGCAGAACTGGGGGCCATTGGGGAGCCGCTGCGCGCTGGGAGCCCACAAGCCGGCCTGTCTGCTTGTCCCCCAGGCCCTTCTCCCTTGACGACCTTGACGACTATGAGAAACACTTCACCGTCATGAACTACGACCCAGACGTGGTGCTGAAGCAGGTGGGGCAGCCGTGAGGCACCCGCAGGGTTCCTGTGTCCCCTCGGGGTGTCCTGTTCTCCCTGCCACCTGAAGTGCGCTGTGCCTGAGGATGTGGGGGCAGGCGGGTGGCCTGTCCCGAGGCCGGTCACAGCAGAGTGGGGCTCAGCAGGCTCCCCCCCGCCCCGGGAAGCTGCCTCACCTGGGAAGACACAGCTGCCCCTTCAGCACTCTGAGCCCAGGAATGGAGGGGGCCACGGAGGTGCCTGTTGCCTGGCCCCACAGGAGACAGGGCAGCCCCCGCCCCGTGCCCATCTGGCCCTGCCCCTGCCAGCCTGTGGCCCTTCCTGGAGCCACATCTCCTACCCTCCCTGTGCGTCTGTCCCTCCTGGCACACAGTACATGGCAGTGAGGCTGGGGGTGCTGGCAGGAGGCCACAGACAGTGCACCTGAGCCAGGCAGGCACAGCCTGGGCAGAGCTCGGGTCCTTGGAGGAGGAAAGGAGGACCAGGCCACGGCATTCACTGCCCCAAAGCTCTCTGCCCTGCCGGCTGGTTGGCAAGGGTTGAAGATAAGCCGTCAGGCGCCCCAGCTGGCCCGCCTGCTCCCTCTCTTGAGGCATGACCACCGTCCGGGCACACCTGGACTCCTCAGCATGTGCTCGAGCACGCCCCCAGCATCTCTGCCACCAAGTGCCATGCTCCTGGATGGGCTTCACCAAGTGCAGCCCCAGAGCGCCCTGTGGCTTCCTAATTCCCACAGTTATTCACCCGAGCCAAGTGGGGCATTCTTGGAGGCATCCTGCTGACTCTGCCTGGGAGGGACCTGGAGAACGGGAGCTGCTGGGTAGCAGTGCTGGGCTCATGCACACCCGGCCAGGGCCATGTGGTCCTGCTGCCACTTGCCCCTCTTTCGTCCTTGGTCACATTGAAGGCCAGTACCCAGAACAGCCATGAGGGCCCCAGAACGTGGTTGGTGCTGAGTCCCTTCTCTCTGCATTGTGAGGGGGTCATCTCCAGAAGCCCTGTCCATGTACTGGGCTTTCTTGGGGTAGAGTCTTGGTCTGGTGAAGATCTCGCTGTTTTTCATTAGTGCAGGGACACAGGTAGGGCCCTGAAGACTGGGTCCAGGCTCTGTGTCAGGTGGGCTGTCCTGCTCTGGGTGCTGAGCTGCCCTGACTCTGCTGCCTGACTCAGCCTCCCGACAGCCTTGAAATCAGCTTGCTGTGTAGGTGTGTTCCCCGTCACAGGAGCAGACGGGCTCGGAGGTTGACATGCTTTGCCAGAGTCTCACAGAAGCCAGAGTTTAAACCCAGTCTCTTTTCCCCTTTGTAACCTGGGGGGCTTGGGCCACATGCTGTCCTGCGGTGCTGTCCTCCTATTGCCCCAGCAAAGCAAGAGTGACTGCCTGGCCCTGTGTGTTGCAGGTACACTACAATGAGTTCATCCCTGAGTTTGAGAAGCAATACCCAGAGTTCCCCTGGAGTGGTGTCCAGGTGAGTCCCAAGCTCCACTGGGGGCAGGGCCAGGCTGCACACCTACAGGAACCACCCCTCACACTCTGGGACTGGGTGGCTCTGAGCACATGGGTCAGCCAGAGGGCAACAGGTTCCATCTGCTCCAGTGACCTGAGTCCCTGGTGAGCCACGGGGGTGCTAGGGCAGGAGATGGGGCAGGTTTGCTGAAAGTGGACCTGGGGGCTGAGGTGTAGCTCTGGGGTAGGACATTTGCCTGGAATGTGCAAGTTCCTGGGTTTGATCCCCAACACCAGAAATAAAGTAGACTCCCAGAAAAGGGAAAATGTCAGGTAGAAGTGACATGGATAGGTCTAGAGACAAAGGGTGTAGGGGAGGTTGACTTGGGCCATTTCAGGCTAGGGTTCAGGCAGGACACTGAATTGAGGCAGCTCTGGGAGGCCAGTCCCAGCATTAGGACCAACAAGCCCCTTGACTCACCCTCCCCGACCTTAGGCTGAGATCTTCCGGGCCATCACGGAGCTGTTCCAGGTGGCATGTGCCAAGCCACCACCCCAGGGCCTTTGCGACTACCCCGCATCCCGGGCCGTGTATGCCGTTGACCTCATGCTGAAGTGGGACAGCCGCCCTGATGGTGAGGGACCGCCCAGGCGCCCTGAGCTGGAATGAGCCAGGAGGTCTAGACTGAGGGGGGGACACCTGCCATGCAGAGGGCACAGGGAGACTGGCAGAGGGAGCCCCTGTCTCCCTGGCCCCAGCTAGGCCCTCTTGGTGACAGCCCACCTGCCAGCTCTGCCTCCTCTTCCCCTCTGGGCTGAACTCGGCGTCTGCCCTTGCTGTGATGCACTCTCGTCCCTGGGGCTACGGTCTGCTGCTGCCGGGCCATGGGGGGCAGGTGGCAGTCCAGGCCAGCCTGCAGAACCAGGAGACTTACTTCCAGGTCCCCATCCCCTGGCCCCCTGCAACCTTCTCACCTGCTTCCCTCATTCCCAGGAAAGCGGGTGATGCAGCCCCAGATCCTGGAGGTGAACTTCAACCCAGACTGTGAGCGAGCCTGCAGGTACCACCCCAGCTTCTTCAACGATGTCTTCAGCACCCTGTTTCTGGACCAGCCCAGCGATTGCCATGTCACCCGCCTCGTCTAGGGCCTCCCACCTGTTCTTGCTGGCCAGGTTGGTGCCTCAGTTCTCTGAGCTCCTCCTGCCAAGACGCTGACCTACCACCTCCTCTTCTCCAGTCCCTGACCAAGTCATAGCCTCAGCCCAAATCCTCTGCCTTCCCGGCCCTGTCCCTGTATCTCCCGCTGGGATTGAGGGTCCTCCTCTCTGCTGTGGGTCAGTGAGGACACCACTGGGGCCACGTGGTACCCCAGCCCCCTCTACACCCCTCACCACTGACTGCGTGAGTGAGTCCCCAACTTTACCAAGGGCTTTGTTCCTGGCACCGGGAGAGTCTGGATCCTGGGCTGCTGTTTCCGGAGGTTAGGGGGCAAGGGTTCCTTAGAAATGGGGCTCTGAGGGAAGTGTTTGGGAACTCTGCATAGAATGAGACTCGTTGGGTCTCTTTCCACAGTGTGCCCTCTTGCCTCATGGCTCCCACAAGCGGGGTGACAGATGCCCCAGAAAGCCTGGGAAACCCTGGCCACCAGCCACACTCCAGCCCCCACCAGCAGACCTCTGCCCACAGCCAGGCAGGAGGGCTGGCTTCTCCCTTCTCATGTTTGAGAGTGGCCTGTCCTCTGGAAAGTTGGCCTACTCGAGAGTTCCCACCAGAGCCCCCCTGCTCACCAGGCACCGCCACCCCCTGAGATGGGCTGAGGTGCTCTGGAGAGGGTCTCAAGGACGAGTGTGGGTGGCAGAGCGCCAGGCAGGGGTAGTTGAGAGATGGCCGTGGCTAGCAGGCTGATTCCAAGGAGGACCTCAGTTCAAGACAGGTGCTGTTGTCACTAAGGTCCAGAGTCAGTGTGGGCATTTTGTTTTTTAACTTATGGGAAGAAAATGTAAAATTTTAGTTCTTTCCTAATTTTTTTCTGGAATTTTGGTCACGTGCCAGCGTTCCTATGTTTCAAGGTCTTGAAGTGTTGTTCTGTGGTCCTGAGGATGGAACCCAGGGCTTCTCACTTGCTAGACAAGTGCTGAACCACTGAGCTACATCCCCAGCCCTTTTTTATTTTGGGGCAGGATCTCACTAAGTTGCTCAGGATCTCACTAAGTTGCTCAGGATCTCACTAAGTTGCTCAGGCTGGCCTTGAACTTGTGATTCTCCTGCCTCAGCCACTCAGTAGCTGGACCACAGGTGTGTGCCCAGCAGCTGCCAATGGTTCTGGTGTAGCTGCAGTGCAGTGGGCAAGTCTCTGTCCAGGTAGGCAAGAGCTGCTTCCAGAACTTTCCAGCACACAGGAGGACAGGACAGGGTTCGTGGTGTCTGTTTCATTTTTGAAGCTAAAAGCAATTCTTTCCATAACAAAACTGGGTGTGATTCTGCCCACCATCTGTCTCCAGGCACATGGACCACCTCTTTGACTCGCCTCACCCTTTAGCTGGACTTGGCCCTCCCTCCGCCCAGCAGGGCCATGGCTGTGGAGGGCAGGGTTGATGCCGCCTCTGGTTTCCTCACCTGGAGGGTGGGCTGCTAGCCTCCCAGCTCTCACCCTGCTTAATTTGTACTGCAATAAAGTATGACTTCTTTGATGGCTGCTGCTTTCTCTGGGGTCCTGGAGGCACAGGCCTAAGCTGGTGTGGCAGCTGTGTCCCCTAGAGTCAAGACTGTAACAGGGTGTGGGTGAAGCTATGACTGCGTCCAGACCTCCGGGTCCTAACAGGTGGCACTCTTGCTGGCTCTGGGTTCACCTAAAATCTGTGACACAGTGGGCAGGGGTGGTCACTGAAATCAGGTCCATGTGTCCCCTGAGAAATAGTGACCAAGCACGCTTCTCTGTTTCTAGATGTCTATGCAAACAACCCCCAAGCAAGGCCACCAGCAGGACTCCATGTCCCAGCTGAGGCACTGCCATGGAGACGAAGCTGGTCCCACGGAATGCTTTCTCCTGGTGCTCAGTGGCACCCTAGTCACCCTTCTTTAGGAATTCGTTGAGGGCCAGAATATGTCAGTGCTGAGCACATGGAGTTGCTGGAGAGGCCTGGTAGTGGTGGCTTGTACCGCAGACCTTCAGGGCCCTACTGAGGAAGTCCCAGAGGTCCCTCTGCGTGCTATTGGTGGAGTCAGCGTGGTGGCACTCTGGCTGTGTGGGATGCCCACCTGTGGCGACTCTCCCAACAAGGGTGCTGCCCACAGTAGTACAGCGGAGGCCTGTCACCCTAGTTCGGAGTACCTGGCCACAAGTGTCTGATGGACCTGGGATCATCAATCACTGGGGCTTCCATGCGGATAGCAGCTGGCCAGGCCCCCTGGCTGTGCAAAGGCCTGGTTTGATGCCGTGCTAGCCCTGCTGAAGAGCCTTCGGGCTCCTGCAGGGCACCGGCACGTTCCTTGCCCCCTTCCTTAGCAGGCTTGGGAGGGACGCTGGAGGTTCCCGCTGTGCCAGGAGAGCACAGCCTGGGATCCCAGCCCATCCCCTGAGAGAGGGAGCCCTATCACATCTGTCAGTGAGGGCAGGGTTTCCCAATGTAGTCCTGCTGACTTAACATCAAGAGCCAAAACCAAAAAGGCCCCGCCCACAGGCCTGGCCCTAGGGAGCTGCCACAGCCAGGTCTTAGGAGGCTGCGGCCAGGCTGTAATGGCTGGTGACAAGAGAGGCGAGTCCCTCGTGCACCACACTGTCCAGTCTCAGTACTCCAGACAGCTGCCTGGACAGGTCAAGGTAACTCTCTTGGAAGCCTGGGGTACAGGGACACCTCCAAATCCAGGTAGGTCTGGGCCAGCAGAAAGCCTTGTTTGCTGGAGTTGGCCTGGTCCCCCGCCCCCATCCTGCCAACAGGGTATTTCAGGGCCACCCGGAGGGGAGAAGCTGGTGCCAAGCAGGTCAACTGGCATTCCCAGCCCTGCCAGTGTTGTCCTAGCAAAGCCGGTTGAGGACCCAGGCAGGGCCAGCATGGGACGCTGGGCCTGGGCTCAGCATCATGGGAGCTGTGGGAGCTCACGTCCTCAGGGCACGACCCACCCACCCTCAGGGTCTGCAGGGTCCCAAGAGGGTACTGAAGCCTGGCTGGTACAGCTTCACCTGGTTGTGCAGCCCAGAGCCACCCACAGTGACATCCTGTGTATCACAGCCCATCCCCTCCCCACAGTCAGGGGTCCCACAAAGGCCACCGTGTGGAAGGTTAAGAACTTTACTTGGCTTGTCAAGCCCTGTGCTCTGAGGGCGCAGTGGAAAGCGCAGGACACTGCCCCGGAGGTGGCTGGGCTTGGACCACCCCCAGAGCCACTGGTGACCCCTAGGCCGAGACCCGGACAGACCAGCAGGCCCATGTCGTGGCCACGCCACCAGGGGCACCTGACGGGCAGCGGGGCAGTCCTCGGCAGGCTGGCGCCTCACTCCTGGAGCCGCCCGCCACCGCGGCGGCCCTGGTTGTCCCTCCACACGCAGTAGTTGAGTGTGGTTGCGAAGGCCAGCCAGGCCAGGTAGGGGTAGAGCAGGCGGGCGGCGGGCGGGCTCACCCGGTGCCAGGCCACTGTGGTGGCTGTCGCCGCCCCACTGATGAGCAGGAGGTCCACCAGGGCCTGCAAAGACAGGGACAGGGTGGCCTGAGGCTCCACAGCCAGAGCGTGTGCTCAACAAACCCTCCAAGCTGGCCGGAGGAGTCAGCCTGTCTCAGACCTGTCCCACCCCTTGTCCAGGCCACGCCCCTCCTGCTACCCACCATTCCTGCCTGGCCCGCCCTGAGGGGGGCCGGGTGGGGTAGGTGACAGCACCCTGAGGGGACACAAAGTTCAAGGGGGGGTGGAGGCTGGGAGCCTCCAGCCTCCACTGAGGGCTGCCCTGGCCTCCAGCATTTCTGCAAGGCTCCAACAAACGCCCTGTCCCTGTGCAGCGCTGTCCCTGAGGTGGCCCTGAGTGGGCCAGACTTCCCGGGTGGATTTCACTTCTCAGCAGGAGCCTTTCGGAGCAGTCTGGGGCTGGGGGGCCCAGCGCGGGCGCCTGCCTGGCTCCGTGCCCAGCACTGGGGGAAGAGCCGCTGCCACTGGGAAGCACCAGGCCTAATGGGGGCTTCCCTCCAGGACGAGCCCGGGCCCCAGCTGGCACCTGACCACCCTCAACAGGGCCTGCAGGGCTCCCTTCTTCATGGGTGGAGCCTCAGCCCATGGGAGGCCCCAGGGCAGGGGTCCTCCAAGAGCTAAGCCCACAGACCCCCCGCCCCCCAAACTCCACCAGTCTGGAGGGGATGTCCCAAGTGCTCAGAGGGACATCTCCAGGGACCAGGAAGGAAGGCCAAAGGTACACTTACCCAACCCATTTGTCGGGCACCAAAGAAGATGGGGGGCCATGCCCAGTTCAGGGCCAGCTGCCCAGCGTAGAGGCCCAGGGGGACCACAGCCTCATCTGTGAAGCCCCCCAGCTCTTTCCAGACCATGTAGGAGCCGTACCTAAAACAGAGGCTTCTGGTCAGGACCTCACTGACCTCCCAGATGAGGTGATCGCTTGGGCATACCCTGCCACTGACTTCTGTGTAACCTCAGGGAAACTGCTTAACCTCTCTGGGCCTTTGTTCCTCAGAGGATTGCTGTGGGGATTCAGGTCAACACTTAGTGCAGAACCTGGCACGAGGGACTCTCAATAATTATTTGGCATTGTCACCTTCCGTGCCATGAAGGAGAAGCACATGAGCTGAGTGGGTGCAGAGGAAGCTCTTAAGCTAGCCAGGGGCAGCACAGAGGATGGGCCATTGGGGCAGGCCTTAGAGGATGAGGCTTTGCAGGGGAGGGGACGGGACATGCAAAGGCCCTGAGGCAGGTGTGAGCCTAGTCTGTGTGCCTGCAGGGTGGGGTCTGGGGCCCAGGGAGGGCAGATGGCAACCTAGTGGCAGGGGCCACAGGGGCAACCGTCACATGCCACACCTGCAGGCCCTGCCCTAGCACTTCCCTGGCACTGGCCCATTTCATCCTCAGGACATTGCTGTTTGGTGGCAGTGTCATCCCCCCACTCCACATCAGGAAACTGAGGTTCAGGTAGAGGACGGATCTCTCAGGCACCGGGGGACAGCGCAGCAGGTGACCATGGGGAGCCATGGGGTTGAGGGGCTGGGCCAGGTCCATGCTGCATTTGGATCTCCGAGGTGGAGGTGGGTCAAGGGCTGGGGGAGCCCCAGGAACTGGAGCCAGGTTGGGGCAGAGGACAGCAGAGACCCGGGAAGTCCTCAGAACCCGGCCCACTGGCCTTGAGGATCCTGGTGACACCCAGATTCAGGGTCATCTTCCCATCAGCATCCCCGACACTGGCCTGGCCTCTGCTACCTGCCTGGTGTACCTGGTGCCTGCAGGCCCATCCTGTGCTGGGAGGGCGCAGCTGGGATGCAAGGAACATTCCAGAAAGAGCAGGGAGCCACTGGGGCCTCCAGGGGACACTCTTCCCCACCCACCACTTTCTTCCCTCTTCAGAGGACTCTCAGGCCTGGGGGGAGCTCCTGAGGGGATCCCCACTGCGAGCCTGTGTTCTTGGGCAGTCCCTGGTCAAAAGGAGGATTCTAGAAATCAATTTGGATAGTGCCTGGCACCGGGCAGCTCAAACGGAGCTGCCATCGTGGCTGCTGTTGGCCACCAGGGAAAAGCACCTGCCACCTGACCCAGCTGGCCCTTATACACTGCAGCGGCCCAGACAGGGGTGGCAGGGTCTGGTCCGCGGGGCCAGCCGCGGGCCACCCTCCCAGGGGGCCCAGGAGAGGGAAGCTCCTTGTGCCACCCGCAGGCCTGAGGCCCCCCTCCCTGCTCCCCTGCTGGGGAAGGGCCATCCTCTGAAGGGGAGATGCCCCCCAGCCGCACACCTACCCCATGGCTGAGTAGAGGGTGCCCCAGACGGGAGCCAGTGCCCAGCGGGGCGGGTGCCACGAGGGCTTCTGCAGGGTGGCGTGCCAGCGGAGGCCCTCCCCGCGCACAAAGTAGGAGCCAGCAAAGCCCCCCAGGCTGGGCAGCAGTGTGAAGCCCACGGCGGGCACCCAGGGTGGAGCCATGGCTGCTGCTCTTCCAGAAAGCTCTGAAAGAGAACACAGGGCTGGGGTGAAGCGGTCCACTCCGAGGAGCCCGGGTCAGCCGACCTCCTGCAGGGTCTCCGGCGTCCGGGCTGCGCCGTCCTCCATCGGTGTCAGTGCGGTTCAGAGGCGGTGGGGCCGAAGACTGAAGCCAGGGCGGGCCGGCACCCAGCCACCTCCCAGCCCTTCTCCTCTATTTCTATTTTGAGACAGGGTCTCATACTAATCTGCATAGGACCCCACTAAGTTGCCCAGACTGGCCTCAAATCGGTGATCCTCCTGCCTCAGTCTCCTAAATGGCTGAGATTACAGGCCTGGGCCTCTGTACCCAGCTCGAGTGGACCTGTCTCCACCTGAACTTATGCTCCCACCCAGAAGCCCCCAGCTGGCCAGGGGCTCTCCGGGGCCCCTCTCCCCCAGGCCTCCCCTTAGCCACTGGCCAGCTTTCAGGGTCTCCTGTCCTCTCAACCTGGATCTCGGGTCGCTGGCAGGGACCTCTCCTCTCCCCCTTGATCAAAGCCAGTCCGGGTCCCCTCCATCAGGAAGGGGCCCCCGGGAGGCGGAGCTTCCGTCCCGCCCCTCACAGTCATCGTACCCCTCTCCCGGCAGACGGCCGGGCTCCCCCACACCTCCCCTTCCCACAGCCTCTCTAGGACCTCAGCAAATCACTGACTCTCTGGGCCTCCGTGTCCCACTCTGTAGACAGGACGTTGGCACTGCCACCGTGGGCCCCGTCCAGTGGGCAGCACCAGGGAGTGGCTCTGTAGACAGATGACTCCCCACCCTCAAGCCACTGCCCCTTTCCTTGTGTACAAGAGATATAAAGTAGGCCGCCCTGCGTCACACCAAGGCCTGCCCAGGGCACGGTGCTGCTCCCACCCTGATACTCAGGACTGAGCGTGGCGAGGGTTCAAGGCTGGGGAGGTCCCCTGGCCCTCTCCTGGCCTCTCAGGCCAGATGCTGCCACCCAGAGGGCCACAGCCCTCCCCCTTTGGCACGGGCAGAGGGAGCTGGCTTCAGGCTCCCCGGGGTGCTGGCAGGCCGTGCCCCCTTGCTCAGCCCTGGGCTGAGGACCTACTGGCATCCAGCACTTGGCAGGGCTTGCAGCTGGGAGCCAGCGAGGCAGCAGGGAGCAGGGGATGGGCGTCAGGGGTCTGGATGGGGTTGAGGAGCTCAGCCCTCAGAAAGGGCAGCACTGACTGTGGCCAGGAAGGAGAGGCTACAGGAAGGTCAGTGAGCCCTTCCTGCAGAGGGGCACCAGAGGGACAGGCAGCATGTGGGGAGGAGGAGGTGGCCCACGTGGGCTGCAGGTGAGGGAGGGCAGGAGGTCGAGGTGGCCAGGGGCGGCAGGGTGGCTGGGAGAGGGAGTGCCTGACCAGGGCTCCGGAGCTCAGTGAATGGGGAAGCAACCTCAGTGCCCAACGACTGGGGACTCAAAGACTGGTCAACCCTCAAGTTGAGCTCTGGAGGACCTTTGGTTTCACTGACTTTACCTTATGTCTTTGTCAGTGATAGGGAGGGCCTCGAGCATGTCAGGCTAGAGCTCCACCACGGAGGGACATCCTGGCCCTCCTGAATGACGAGGAGACGACTGTTCTCAACATGACACGCAGCAAAGAAGGCAGAACCTGACCCTGGCTGCAGGAGGACCCAACTGTGGCAAACAGTAACAATGACATGGACACCCACTGCTTAAATTTAACAAATTCATTAAGACCATGTCAGAGGTCATCGGCATGCTGCAGAGGGGCACCAGGTGCCCTGTTCGGCACATCCAGACTCCCCTGGAACTCGGCAGCCTGGGCACACAGCGGGCCTCAGACACAGGAAGCAGGTGGGGAGGGGCGGGGCAGGGATGTCAAGGCAGGAATGGAGCTGCCCGACCTCAGGTCTCCTCGTGGTGACCCGGTGCCTCTTCCCAGGTGCACCTAGGTTATGTCCACTCTGCCCCTCACTCAGGGCCTCCCCCTCTCACAGTCCCTTCCATAAAGGTTAAAGTCGCCACTCTAAGACAGATGGACGTCAAGACCCCTTGATCCACCCTCAGAAGTAGGCACACTTCTGCCCCCAACACTAACTGCCCGCCCCAAGCCCGAGGAAAACCAGGGGATCCTGCAGAGGCACATTCTAAGCACAGGGGACCCGCACTCTGTACCCCACGAAGGGCCACAGTCACGAAGGGCAAAGTCAGACACAGAGGGCGTGTCAAGCACAGTGGGGGTCCAACTCTGCACCTGGAGGGCCATCATCACATGTTCAAAGCCAGCCTCAGCAACTTAAGGAGGCTCTAAGCAATTTAGCAAGACCCTGTCCCAAAATAAAAAATAAAAAGGGTCTGGGATGTGGCTCAGCGGTTAAATACCCCTGGGTTCAATCTCTAATATCAAAAAAAAGAAGAAAGAAAAGGCGGCAGCATCCCAGTCTGGATAGGACGTCACACATCACCCAGGGCCCCCACGCTGCCCTCTGTTAACAGAGTCAGCCCCTCCTGCAGGTCAGCCCTGACCCTTGGACATCCTGCTCCACCTGCTGCCAACCCCCCCAGCCTCCGTGCTCCTGCCCCGAGGACTCCCGGGCTCCTGCAGGCTAGTTTTTCTAAATTGAGGTGAAATTCACCAATTTAAGACCAACCAGAGGAAAGTGCACGATTCAGTGGCCTTTGGCATAATCCCAGAAAGTTCCCAAACATCCTCATCACTCCCTGCCCCTGCCCTGAGCCCCTGGCATCCAGCGATGGTCTGTCCTGGACACTCGATGGCCACAGGATCCTGCAGCATGTGGCCTCTGTGTCCGACTAGGGGTCTGTCCACCCTAACCAGGTGGCGGCACTTCTCCCTGCAGTTCTGTGGACAGAGGCCCTCCTGTCGCCCTGCCACAGCACCCAGTGGGCCAGGCAATGCCCAAACAGGACTGGTATGGATGCCCCTGCCAGCCCACCTTAGAGCCACCACTCAAGACCCCGATGTAGAAAATTAGCCAAGGCCAGGCAGCCGGTGGCCTTCCAAAGGCCCCAGTCAGAGGACAGGATCTGTCATTGGGGTCCACAGATGGGGGGGATGAGCCCCAGGCTCCCACCCACTGTCTAGCTGCCCCCACCAGGGCCACACTGTGTTTATGCTCGACAGGCCCAGGGTATCAGAGGACCTGCCCTTGCCCTGCCCAAGATCAGGCGCCCCGTGTGGACAGAGCCAGCCCCAGGACGTTTCCTGGGGCCTCTTGGGGACTGCCAGCTCCTGACTCACACCTGCCTGGGGGGACAGGCAGCGGTGGGTGGTGCCCACCAGGCTGAGTCACCCTGGGCTGGGCTGGGCTGGCCAGAAATCAGCTCTGGGATGGGGCCCTGTGGAGGGCTAGAGAGGGCTAGGTAAACCCCTGGCAGGAACCGGATCTGCTCCTCGCCTCGGCTGCCTCCTGGGTCAGGGGGCATCTTCTGCCCTGCCCACTCCAGGGTTCCTGGGAGGCCCAGGGGAAGGAAGAGCAGGGCAGCAGGACCACCCTGGAAACTCCAGACGAGTGAGGGGCCCTGGGCATCCCTGTGGGGCTGCCTGCCCCACTTCCTACAAGTAAAGAAGTGGCCTCCAGGTTCAAACCCAGTCAGACCACAGCAGTCAAGAATCCCTGGACTCTCCCTGAGACCTGGGGCCACTCACCAGGAGCACCCCAGGCAAAGCAGAGGACCCAGGACCTGGGCAGGGGCAGTTCCAGGCCTGGCTCAACGCTGGCTACCCACAGGCCTCCCCAGCAGCCGCAGGGCGGGGTCATCTGCCTCTGAGGCTCACAGCTGCTTGGCCCCCGGGGGGGTCTCACTACTGGTCCCACTCTCCAGATGCAGAAGCTGAGCCTCAGGAAGTCACAGAATAGTCTAGGACTGTGTGACTCCAAAGCCCAATGCGGCCCTCCCTCCGCCCAAGCTCTGGGCCCCAAGGCCACTCACAGTGCCTGTGTCATGTCCCCTCAGGCTGCTAAAGGCAGGATCTCACAGCCATCTTCACAGGGTCAGGAGGTTCTCAGGGCCAATAGCATCACCAGCTCCGGCCACAGTGCCAATGACCCAGCTTCTGGGCAGGCTAGGTAGGGGATGTGAACCTCCCCAACTGAGAGTGGCACCCTGGATCTCCTGTTCTGGTGATGCCTCACTTCTGGCCCGGAGACCAGACAGCTCCTGGGTCTCAATTCCTGAGCCTCCGTGTCCCCATCAGTGAAATGCCTGGGCTACCTCCTGTGCTGAGGCCTCATGGGAGAGTGACCCAGAACAGAACGGAGTGGACCTTTTCTGTCCCATCATAATGTCCCTGACCCCCCAACCTGGCCATGTGCCCAGCTCCCCTGCCTGGTCTGCCC